TTGCTCGGAAAATAATGGTTACGTTTTAAGTTTTATTTTTTGCTCGGAAAATAAAACTTAATTTTTGCGTATGCGTATGCGCCTTAATTAATAATTTATTCGTGAATAAGTTATCTGCGAATAATTATATTACGGATAAAATTTTATTCGATTAATTATCTAAATAACAATTTATTCTAATAATGCCCAACTCTGGCTACAGGATAGTACGCCACCATTACCTTTGTTGAAGAGATTCTATAATGTTGAGTTCCTTGAGAGTGAATGCTGGTTTGATTCCATCGCTGAGACCGGACTCACCCATTGTCGAATCTTCACTGATGGCTCCAAAACTGTCTTCCAGGCTGTGGTAATTACAATACTCAAAGCCATGGACTACGTGATGTAACATAGGTGGAGGGGAAGCAGTTTACGTGACTGCAGTGACAACCGAGCTGCACTTAAGGCATTGACCAGCCCTCTATTTAAGTACTTCCAAACTAGTTCGGCAATGCAAGTCTCGACTAAAATATTATGGTGAACATAACGAGGTTATTTTACTCTGGGTTCCTGGTCACTCTGGAGTACCTGGTTATGAGACATCTGATCATTTGGCCAGAGTTTGCTCAGACCAGGCATTCCTCGGTCCGCAACCAGTTTTAGCACTCCAACCTTCGGCAATCGAAGCCAACATCAAAAACTGGGTGAATACTTCGCTCGGAAATGACTGAGAGGCATCGAGGGGATGCAGGTTGGCAAAACTCGTGCTGCCTTCAGTCTCACAAGGTCTGTCTAATTGTTTGCTCTCACTGAGCAGACGACACTGCAGACAACTTGATGGACTGCTGACTGGTCACTTCACGTGGCACAAACACCTGACTGTGTAGGCGTAAATGGCAAGTCCATTTGACCATCTTGCCTTGAAGAAGATGAGACGGTGGAACACTTTTTGTGCTTTTTGCTTGCTTGGTTATTTGTCATCGAGTTTTTTAAACCCGTTCTTTTCTCTATTGTCAGTTTCTAAATTAAAAGTTTGGCGTAAAAAATTTATATTAGCCGTTTTGATGTTTTAAGTTTTGTGTTTTAAAAATGTGATAAATATTTTTCGCCTGACTTTAAAACTCGGAGCGATAAAAATAAAAATGATGCCATTAACACAAATAAACTATTTTACATATACTCCACGTGCAAAGTCATGAGAGAGGCGAACATTTGATGAGTTTATGGCGAAGATAATGTAAATAACGTTAGCGATCGCAGAGCTCGTAAAAAAAAACTTTTCCGAGCGAGAGAGTATTTTGATGTATTTAAGAGCTCTATTTTTTAAAATCTAGAAGTGTGTAATCACATAATTTTTATAAATAGAACACAAGAAAATATTTTATTTTCATTTTGGCCACTACGAGTTTAGTTTTTGAATTCACCCACGATGCAAACTTACATTGTTAGATCTAATTTTCACATTTAATTTTTTTATGAGCTTTGCGAATATTTAGAAATGTAACAGCAGGGGGTCCACCGAAACCAGAAAATTTTTGAAAGGGGTCTACGAGAGAAACAAGTTTGGGAACCTCTGATGTATATGATGGAAATCTTGGAAAATTGTCATATCTCGAGAGAAGTTGTTTTGTCAGATGTCCACAGATTTTTTTTTAAAGCAGTTCACTCTTTGATGCGAAACTGCGAAAGGCAAAAATTAGCGTTTGTCTTGTTGCTTTGCTGGGCGTTTGTGGGAAACGACGCCATAACGGTGCCATATGTTTGTTGTAAAAAACTGCCGATTTTCGCACTTTCGCTCCAACGCATCAAAAAGTGAACTCTAGTATTGTGAATGTTGTATTTAATAAGCCCACTAAAAAAAATATTTCATATTTGTAGCTTAAAATATGCAAACAAATTCTGACTCGAGCTCGTCTTCTACTGAAACTGTATGGGCTACAAAACTGCGTACTCCAAATTAAAAAAAAAATCGGATAGTTAGATATTTTGATGTATTTTTTTTTTAATTTTTAACATTTCTATAAGTTTTCTAGACAGTTTGAGGCTTCATGGTT